GAGAGAATGAGAGAGAGAGAGAATGAGAGAGAGAGGTGGGGGGTAGAAAGACAAACAGACAGACAGAGAGACAGAGAGAAAAAGGGAGGAGGGAGGAGAGAGAGACTCAAATTCACCAAAACTCCTTCGCTCAGTAGTGTTTTCTGTAGAGTGTACAGTGGCTTGAGTCGTTGCGTCACAAGGAGTCAAGAAACGCAAACTGCAATTGTATGGACACATCACCCGTTCCCCCGGCCATGCCAAGATGATCCTTGAAGGCAGCGTCCAGGGACAAAGGAACAGAGACAGGCCAACGAAGAGTTGGGAGGACAACATCAAGGAATGGACAGGCCTGGAACTCAAAGACACGCTCAGGAAAGCTGAAGACCGGAAGGAGTGGAGGAAGCTGGTGGCCAAATCTTCAAAAGCGCCCCGATGTACATCCAGTCTACGGGATAGGTGAAGCAGGTGAATGAACCTTTTGCATGAATCAAAACGGTGTTCCGCGAACTGACCATGACAAGTCCGTGGTCATTTTGTCTGTTGTGTTTCTGTAGAAATCTAAAAACCTTCTATAGTGATGTCAAAAATTCGTGGCGCAAATCTTTGTTAAATATTTCCTAAAATATCGAACGTAGATTCTCCAGCTTTCATTTTGCACAATGACGTGTATCAATTTGTCGTAACAGATCAATATTTTTGTAAACACATGTTAGCTGTATTCTAGAAAGTTTCTTAAAAATTAATACTAACAAAAAATCCAAGTGGGTGTTTTCTACGGATTTTAAAATGTTTACAACTGGGGCAATATTGCTTTTATAAGCGAGTCCGTCGTGGCATATCTTTATTGAACGCTTGTTTTGAGAACATTTAGTGCGAAAAGTGAGTTCATTATAAAAGAATTTCTTGTTACAATTTTTGCCACTAAAAAATGCCATTGATGAGCTGGGACGTAGGCCATGTGCGTATACAAAATATGTGTGAGAAGCGGAGCGTGCTGTGAACAATCCCATTTTCCGCGTGACGGAGATTTATCGAGTTTTAGATGAATTTATGAAGAGAAGTCTTCTTTTTTTTTTTTTTAAATTAGCCTCAGTTGCCGTGGAAAGATTAAATTGAATTAAGGCAAATTGATGCAAATTCTGTGCAAAGTGTGGATGACATTTATTTACCCATCAAAGAGATATAATTTGAGGATATGCTGCGCCATGAATTTTTCACCTCGCTTTTGACATACGTATGTCTACAAGACGTCGTTCCTTTCGAATAGTAGAGAAAACAGAACATAGCAGTGTAATATTCTTAAACACTGTAATTGTAATTTTTATTCGTGAGTCTTTTTGTTTTTCTCCTTTGCTTTATTTTAAAATAATTTTTAAAAAAGCAAAACACACCATTGAAACAAATAAAATAATTCGACTAGATTCTACCTTGGAATTTTGTAAGTGGGCTTTGAATCGAGCATGAAATGATCCGAGGGACAATTGATAAGGTGGTTTGGACATGTTGTGAGAACAAGGCCACAACAGCCAGCCTCAAAGGCCTACATTATGCGATCCGATAGCTTCAAGGCAAATAGAAGGCCAAGAAAAAGTTGAATCGATGGAGTCAAAGATATCCTTCAAAAGCACAGTCTGAAGATTTAACCAAAGATAATAATAAAGACACACCTAGCCCACGCTCGACAAAAAAGTAAAAGTAAAGCGAAGAAGTAATACATTTTGGAGTGTTTGTTTGGGCGTTAACGGATTTTTTCCCCTTTTGTTTTTCATTCTTTTTGATTTGTTTTTTTGTTTCCTCTGCTTCCTTTACTTTTTGCTGAGGAAATGTTGATGCTTGCAAGGCAAACACGGGCTGAACGTTCATACAGGGGAAAAAAAGATTTCTTTCCAATTTTACTGAAAGTGTAATCAAAAGAAACATTTATGAACTACTGGTGTGGGGAAAAGGGTGGAGGGGGAGACGGACACACACACACACACACACACACAGAGAGAG